TCTGCAACCTGGTGCTGTTCTTTGCACAGGGTTATCTGGATTTACAAGGGTCTTCCTCCTGAAGATGGTAGAGAAGGGAGGCCACCTGTTGCTGTTGAGGTTAGGACTCACTTTGCATTAGACAAGACAGCTGAGGGCATTTGTACAGGAAAGTTACCCTCACTACTGATCAGAATCAACAGTCACAGCTCAGAAAAGGAGCAGAGAAACACTTTGTATTTTTTCCCTGCTACGTAAAAAAAATATGGATTTAATTAACAAACAAAACCACATATTTTGATTTTTGCCAAAACAAACATTTGGAAGTTTAAGATTTTTTCTTTTGGGTGAAAGCAAAGATAATAGAGGCCTTGATTTGCTTGTCCCTGAGGAGGGCTGTCAGGCAAAAAGAAACATCTCTCTGGTTGAGAAGGCACCTCTTGAGTTAGAAGCTATTATGCTGTAGTGGGTGGCCAGTTGGTGTCCTGGGTGGCTAGCTGGTGGCCCAAGGAGAGAACAAGGCAGTTCTAACTGGCCACTGAAAACACTACCATGTGCTGGGTGGAACCAGCCTAGGGCTGTGAAAGAGCACAAGCTAATGAACAGCTTTATGGGAAAAAGATGCTGGGTGAGTCCCTGAGGAGCTGCCTCTTGCTGTGATAGCTGGAGCTATCACCCCTGCACAGGAAACCAACCTGTTTTTGGAGTGGAGCAGCTGCATCCATGTGGCACCATGTCTGAGAAACAAACTTGAGATCCGTCTGCCTTCCCACCCATGTGGCCCCTCCCTATTACTGTGTCCTTTACCTCACTCTTTGTGAGACCCCCTTCCGTATGTCTCATACCTGCTGCCTTTAAATCTCCTTGCAATATTCCCTGAAGGATTCCTCATAGCACCTGTTGATATCCTGGATATTCTTCCCTCCTATTGTTCTGTTGGAAGAACTGACAATTGGTAACAGGATCCAGCCTTCAAATAACCAGGGAGAAAAATTAGTGTCAGGGCTCAACTCTTACCACTCCTGGGTTATTCTACTTGCTTTGCATAAATATTAGTTGGAGCAGGACAAAGAATCCAGGTGTCATCCCTCCCAGGTAAGAGTTCTGATCATGAGATAAGTCATTAAAACAGGTATTTGATACAAAATGGATCAGTTATAATGGGAAGGAATTGAGGAAGATCTGTTTTAGTAGGGCTGGAATGCTCACTTGAGAGGTGTGACACAGATTCCTCTTCTGTGCTCATATCTGTGTATTGTCCTACTAAAATAGTCTATTACAATTCAGCTTAATGGAGCAAATATTTTTTCATTTGAATTACAGGGGAATTTGTAGAGGTCTGAAGGAAATGTTTTGAGGAGAGGCTGAGAAAACTGGGTTTGTTCAGCCATGAGAAAAGAAGGCTTTGGGGAGACCTTATTACAACATTCCAATACATAAAGGGTGGCTATCAAGAAGATGGAGACTATTTAAAAGGAGTCACATGGAAAATACAAGGGGTCATGGGCACACATTCCTTCTAGGGCGATTCCGATTGGACACGAGGTGGTCAATTTTTCACCATGAGGACAATAAAACATTGGAATAGTCTCCCAAGGGAAGTAGTAGATTCCCCCACATTGGATTGTTTCAAGTCTCAGCTTGACAGGGTGCTGAGCCATCTGATATAAACTATAGTATTACCTAAAAAGGTTGGACCAGATGATCCTTGAGGTCCCTTCCAACCTGGCATTCTGTTGTTCTACAGCATAGAAAGAGATAGCACAGGGAACCTGGTGATACGAAGAAACTTGTTACATAAGGGGTGTCTCTGTGTGGGGAACACAAGTAAAACATTAAAAATAAAGCTGAGACAAAGCATGCACTTGCATCTTGTCTAAAAATGTGCAATCACACATGCACAGCTACTACCTGCCAGCCTGGTCTTTGTGCACCATGACATCTTGTTAGCCGTATAATTCATCTTAACTGCTGAAAATGGATCAGTTATAATGGGAAGGAATTGAGGAAGATCTGTTTTAGTAGGGCTGGAATGCTCACTTGAGAGGTGTGACACAGATTCCTCTTCTGTGCTCATATCTGTGTATTGTCCTACTAAAATAGTCTATTACAATTCAGCTTAATGGAGCAAATATTTTTTCATTTGAATTACAGGGGAATTTGTAGAGGTCTGAAGGAAATGTTTTGAGGAGAGGCTGAGAAAACTGGGTTTGTTCAGCCATGAGAAAAGAAGGCTTTGGGGAGACCTTATTACAACATTCCAATACATAAAGGGTGGCTATCAAGAAGATGGAGACTATTTAAAAGGAGTCACATGGAAAATACAAGGGGTCATGGGCACACATTCCTTCTAGGGCGATTCCGATTGGACACGAGGTGGTCAATTTTTCACCATGAGGACAATAAAACATTGGAATAGTCTCCCAAGGGAAGTAGTAGATTCCCCCACATTGGATTGTTTCAAGTCTCAGCTTGACAGGGTGCTGAGCCATCTGATATAAACTATAGTATTACCTAAAAAGGTTGGACCAGATGATCCTTGAGGTCCCTTCCAACCTGGCATTCTGTAGTTCTACAGCATAGAAAGAGATAGCACAGGGAACCTGGTGATACGAAGAAACTTGTTACATAAGGGGTGTCTCTGTGTGGGGAACACAAGTAAAACATTAAAAATAAAGCTGAGACAAAGCATGCACTTGCATCTTGTCTAAAAATGTGCAATCACACATGCACAGCTACTACCTGCCAGCCTGGTCTTTGTGCACCATGACATCTTGTTAGCCGTATAA